CAGTCTACATTTCTACTTTTCTAGGAAAAAATACCAGAGGATAGCATCTTCATATTTCATTAGAATAGACTCTAGAAGAATGTTCTCGATAATCTACTTACACTTCCATCTTCTCCACTGGTATGGAGACAACATTTCTGTTCCTTCCTTTCTTCCCAAAGCCAGCCGCCATTCTGGAGTCGCGAGACGGGCCAGGCGGCTGATGATGGCTATTTTGCGAATGAATTCTCAACATGTAAACTACAAAAGTTTGTACGCGTTTGAAGAAACACGTAATAACACAAATAAATCAAGTGTCCAGTACATTGTTTATGATTTCCAACTATCCAGATAGATCATTCTGAAACTACATTGTGGCAAATCCTGCAGATAATTAGTCACATAACTACAACGGTCAGCGACGTAGCTGATCCAGCGGACGCTGTAATCAATGATCGCCCAAGCCCGGGGGAGTCAACTGTTGGTTTCCAGGCTAGTTCGACTGGCTCTCAACGAGCGTACCCAGCTTCCATGGCGACGGCAGGCAGTTGAAGACCGCAAATCAGGTTACAAATAGGTTATCAGTTTGATCTATTCTTATTTCACATTCATTATATTGAGCTGAAATAGCTCGTATCTGTGAACCACGTTAAAACACCTCAGATCCCTTCAAAAGTGGCTTCTTAATAATCGACATCAGTTTTCCGCAGTCTTTCATCACATTCGCACTACGTTATCAACAAAATGGCCGAGCCATAGGATCGTTCCCATAATGCATTTAGAGCGGCACTGGTTGACTAGGCGACAGACGGGAGCGAGTTTGTGAGAAAAGGCGGCCAGACGCCAGGCGATATCTTTACACCTGTCGTGCAATAATTTCCCGGTCAAAGTCAAAGATGTCGTGCGACTTTGCAATTAAAACTTTTCTGAGCGATGAGAGGTTTCATGTTTTTTAATCAATCATGCAGTCCAGATAAATCCTGCCGACATAAAAGAGGCACCTGTCTTTGTTTTTCATTATTAAGTTCATGAAATCACCCTGAGGTAAAACTGTTGTCAGGCACGTTATATCCTGGAAATGTTTGTGGCTGTATAACTAACCGGATAACTAAGCAGAGAGTTGAAAAACACTAGATAGAAAGTTTTATTAAAAGCTCACAAGCCTTCCCAAATCAACCTAAATGTTGTTATTGGAAATTTGCAAGCATGTAACATTTAGGCTTAATACGGTAATACGGTAAGCAGTCCTATAGCAACAGAAATCCAAATTAATTTTATTGCACATCACACTATCATTTTTGTCTTTTGAGAATTATAATATGAACCATGTCTCATCTGAAAACATATTCAAACTTCAAAGCAACAAGTTTTTGCCAATATCAATGCTATTAACTCTTCATTCATTTTAAATCTTCAATTTTTTTTTTTTTTACTGGAATAGGTCAGTTAAAATGATAATCCCAAGCCACAAACATAAAAAAATCACAAAACATCAAAATATATTTCGGGTCAAACTGATCCCGAGTGAAATATCAGCCTGAGTATCAGCAATACCTTGTAGGAGCTACACAAAGAAAATTCACAAACAACTCATAATTAGAACAAATTACATATGGATGAAAAGATTTTCTCTTAAAAAACACGAACAATTTACTGAAAAAACTCAAATGTAGGTGAAGTTTTTATGGTTACCCCATGTAATTCTTTCAAACGAATAAGGGCCCTGAGTGATAAACTGAGTCTTAGTCAAGATGCGTGAGGAGCGCAAAGAAGAAACGGGAATAAAGAAATATAGGAAAAGAGAAGAAAAAAGGGGGAAGAGAGTCGTGAAGCATGCTTAGTACATTTAATCAGAGGCGGCGTCCCTTTTTACATCGGAAAAGTTCCCCTTTTACTTTGACAAGTACCCCTATTAATTTGTTTAAGTGCCCCTTCCCCTTTCCATCTCTGATACTTGCTCTTTTTATTTTGACACGTCCCCCTTTCCCTTCGACAAGTTCCCTTTTTATTTGCAATAAGTGTCCATATTCCATTCTCATAAGTGCCTTTTTTAAATCTCTAGTTATAGTGCCCCTTTTCAGGTACGAGAAGCGCCCCTTTTCAATTTTAATAAGCACCCCTTTCACCTCTGACAATTGCCCTATTAAAATTTCTGAGAGGTACCCTTTTTGCTTTGATAAGTGCCCCTTTTCCTTTGTAAGAAGTGCCCCTTCCCCTTTTAATAACTACCCCTTTTTAACTCGGATAAGCTCAACTTATATTTTCACATATGCTCCCTTTCCTTTCTAATAAGTGCCCTAGCTTTTCCTTATGATAAGTGCCCCCATTTTAAAAAAGAGGCCCTTTCCCTTCTTTTAAATGCCCATTTATGAAAATAGTTCCTTTTCATTCCCATCAGTGCCCCTTTTCATCTCTTGTAAACGACGCCATTCAATTCTGAGAGATACTTGTTTTACTTTGTCAAGTGCCCCCTTCCCATCCTGATAAGTGCTCTTTCCATCTCTAATAAATGTCCCTTTTATTTTGACACGCCCCCCTTTCCTTCCTAATAAATGCTCTTTTGCCTTCTAGATGCCCCTTCCCCTTCTCATAATTACCGCTTTTCATTTGTGATAAGTGCCCCGTCTATTTTAACTATGCCTCTTTTTCTTTTTAATAAGAGCCACTTCCCCCTTCTCATAAAAGCCCCCTTTCACCTCCGATAAATGCCCCTATTGAAATCTGATCGGTTCCCCTTTTTTTAAAGAATGCAGATTTCCCTTTATTGATAGTGCCCCTTTTTCATTCTCATAAGTTCTCATAAGTGCCTCTTATCATATATGGTCAGTGCCCCTTTTCAGATGCGATAGGTGCCCCCTTTCACCTCTGATAATTACCCTTTTAACAATGATACGTGCCCCTTTTCCGTTCTAATAAGGAACCTATCCCTTTTTCATAAATGCCCCTTTTCACTTCTTATAAATGCCCCTATAGTCAAAATCTGATGGGTGACTCTTTTCTGTCGCCAAATGCCTATTTCCCATTCTCATAAGTGTCTTTTTCCTGGTGAGTGCCAGGATCGGGTTTTTCCTCTTCATTTGTATAAGATTAACTTTTTTGCACTGCGACCTCACAAATCTTAACATTTTTCCTCGCTCGCAAATAAATTTTCAGACCAACACACCCAACTGCAAAGATGTATAAAGAGAAACAAATATAATATTGAAATCATCCCTGATAATGTAATCACAATATAGGAGTATATACCAATGTCTAAAAGATTGTATATTTTCGCTTTCAGATTTCCGTTTGAAGGTGCCCTTTTTTCCAGAAAGGCCCTTTTTGTTTGTCCCCCCCCCCCCCGCTTTGGAAGTCGCTCCGCCGCCTCTGAATTTAATGATATTTACCCCTCCAGCCCCGCATTATTTTTTTTCTTTTAATTGCATATAGTAGGTAGGCGATGTGTATTTAAGAATATTATATAAATAAGTTATACATTATTTAGTGTGTTTCTATAATTAAATATATTCTCACACTATTTTTTCGCGAATGTAGTGAACTCAGGAGAATAATTATTTCATTATTATTATTATCAATCATGATTATCATTTTTATTCTTTTTGTTATTTTTATCTTTATAATCATTATTGTCATCATCATCATCATCATCGTCATCATTATGTTATTCGGAAGAAGTACCAGCGCAGCTGAATATATTTTGTATAAAAGCTGCGCTATATAAATTCATTATTTATTATTATTATTATTATTATTATTATTATTATTATTATTACTTGGGAGAAAAACAGAAGTTAGTGATATTTGTGTAATATACGAGACAAGCGGGAGAGTTATGTTATATATCAAACATTCATAACTTTCTTATTATTGGTCTAATCAATTTCAAACTTTCGTCATTCTATTTCTCTTATTTTTCTTATTCGCTGAACTTATTTACAGGGATTAGATTGCCCTTTAAATCCATTTTTTTTTCTTCATTATCACATTTCAGAACCTTCAAAAGTATTCTTCTGATGCGAGGGCATCTTGTAAATAAATAGGTACAGCGACGTTGGAAGGGGGGCCAATACTTTTTAAAAGTTTTTCGTAAGTTCTTCACTATCCCCATGAATGTTTCTGAAAACATGCTATGATTCTCACCCATTAAACAATATGAAAGCTCATAGTTCATACGAAATCTCTTATTCAATATCCCAGCTACTCAGCCGTTGATGGCGCTCGTGCTCTTCATTGAATAGGGCACATTGAAGCAATTTCATGACCCCCCCCCCCCCCTCCCAGGCTAAAAGAAGGTGAGAACAGAATTGTGAGAGTGGGTTGCCCTCCCCTAACCCGTGTCAGTCAGTGTGCGTAACAATGTCTGCACTATGAGACTACCATGAGGCTCTGTACTTTAGACGCTCCTGACAAGGAGATATAGCCAGAAATTGACATATCTATTCTTAGCCTAGACTAGGTTCTGCTCAAGGCTTTAGGAATTATGGTAAAATTTATAATTTGATTCTATGTTTGCAGACTAATCGTTAGGCTGGGAGGGGATGTCTTCTTCTGTTCTGATCACCCCTCCCCCCCCCCCTCTCTCTCTCTCTCTCTCTCTCTATCTCTGTTTCTCTCTCTCCCCCTCTCTCTCTCTCTCTCTCTTTCTCTCTCTCTCTCTCTAAACCTGTGTATGTGTGTGTGTCTTTCTGTCTGTCTCATTCTCTCTCTGTCTCTGCTTAATTCAGTCTCGATGTCCCTTTACTTTACGTGTCCATTATATTGCTAATTGGTTGGGAAATCTATAATAAAATGGTGTTCTTTGATAAGGCATACATTCTCAATTTCTCATTACCAGGTCCATCGGAGAGGTTCTTGTCAGTTTCCCTTACTTACAATCACACAAATGCTTAAAATTAACCATCGAAAGTCGAAACCAAAATCTCTCACTGATAAGAACTTTGAAGTAGTTCAATCTGTGATCTCAACTTGCAGATCTATAAACAATCGCTTGGCGCCCTCTACAGTTTTACAATATGTATCATTCGCCGGCTATTTGCCACGTTGAGATGTTCCGGAAGGAGCCGACAGCAGCTTGAAACACTCAATGTTAAAATCGTTTTTCATTCCACGTATAACATTTTGACGATATTGCAACAAAGAAAAGCATAGATCATAGGTGTGAAAGTCATCCTGCCAAGTCTAATTCTTCAAAACGTATACATAAGGTGAGAACAATTATTTCTTTTGTGCTATAAATACATCGGTGACCGGCGAAAGAGGTTATGCTGATGTGTACTTACTGAACGGCTTTCTCACAGTTGTCAATGGGACACTACAGGCTTAGCGAGTCGCTTGAGAAGACCTACCCACAAAGCCAGCAATAACAACAGCAAAGTCATTGCATTGGTCGTTCCATCAACAGCTGTTGTCTTATGGATGCATTCATCAATACAAATTAAAAAACAAGTCTGTTTAAGGGTGCATGTAAAAGGGATCAGGGATAAAGATTTTGCTGTGGTTGGTAGGTCTATGATTATGAATATGAATATCTTTTTATTGATTGCCTGAGTGAGACTGAGTGAGAGTGAGAAAGAGCGGCCGGGTTTGCAAGATTATGTTACATACCACGCTGGGCTTGGCCTTATTCTTGGTGATTTATGAAAATATGTACACGTACATGTATGTTTAATGTTATTGATAATGACCAATATTACCAGTAGATGTAGGGGTACTGGTCCAAGAATTTAAGGATCGTCCGCATAAATGAGGATCCTCTTTGTAAACGCGGACAGATGCGTCCGCAAAAATAAGGATTGTCTGCATTTTTGCAGACGTTTCTTATTTCTGATCCGTGCATTGGCGATGCGGAAAACGGATTCCGTGATGATTTTCTTAATGTATTTCACATTGACTCTGTACAGAGACTTTCACGTTATGAGCGATAAACCCTCGGGAAGACAGACGACCCCATAAACAGTAGGGGCGCTGGTCTGAGAATGAGGATTGTCCTCTTAAACAAGGATATCCTCAAAAACATGGACTAAATGCGTCCTCAAAAATATAGATCATCCCGATATTCGCGGACGTTTTTTTTTCATCGGTGCTCTGCGGGTTTCCGGTTACCGAACCGCCCACTTGCAATGTTAAAAATGGATTCCACTTAAAAAACCCTAGTTCACCGTCTACTTTTACGGGTTGTCCGTCTTCCAAAGGATTTATCGCTCATAATGGGAAAGTCTCTGTACAAAATCAATGTAAATTGCATCAAGAAGATCATTGCAGAATCCGTTTTTCGCATCACCAACGCGCTAATAAAAAATATGAAACATCTGCTGAAATGTGAACGATCTTTATTTCAGAGGACGCATCAGTCTACGTTTACGAAGACAAGCTCATTCTCGGACCTTGCCATTACTGATAAAAGTAGACGGTGAACTGGGGGTATAATATTACACGTAATACGTTTTTCGTATCGACAGCACACAGTTCGGGAACCCGAAACCTGCAAAGTGCCGTTGAAAAAAACTGTCTACATTCGAATGTGGGATCTAAGGTTTGCTACCTCACCACTCAAAGTGCTGGAAAATGGGGAGGATTCTTATTTTTTACTTTTTTTAGGATGCAATTTTTCTGCATCTACTAGGATATCTTTGTTTATGCAGACGTTCCTCATTCTCGGACCAGCTCCCCTAACTGCGTACTTGGCATGCATTTGCCTGTGTTGACTGTTCAGAGTCATGTAAACAAAACATCAGGCTTAAGGCTCAAAATTCAAATGTGGGTGCTTGTTCAGAACTGTGACAATATTTTCGACCCGTATCTCTGGCGCGTAGAATGGAGATAACATACCAAAAGTCAACTAAATCTTTAACAACTGTTCAAATAATGCTCATGATTTAAAAGCTGTTATATTTCTTACCTGTTTTGTGTCAATTTTCTGTGGAAGGATGTTGCGTCAATTTAAACTAATCATAATCTGGACATATGTGCAGATTGTTTTTAACAATTAAGTTTCTAGTCCTTTGAACCTAATTCTCTTTGTTTTTCCATAGGTTTAAACCATGAAGGTGAAGGATATTGGTCGAACCGCCAACATGGCGTGGAGTCCTGCCGAGCAGTACCCGATCTACATTGCCACAGGAACAGCAGCTCAGCAGCTGGATGCGACGTTCAGTACCTCAGCAGCTCTAGAGATCTTCTCTCTGGACCTCGACAAGAAGGGGTTGGAGACGGAGAGAGTTGCCTCACTCAATACTGACCACAGGTATGGTATTTTTATGATATTGAATGGCCTTATACAGTCAAACCTGTCTACAGCGACCACCCACAGGAAACACAAAAAGTGGTCTTTGTAGACAGGTTCCTTTAGTACATGTTTCAATGAAAAACCATTTTCAAGGGAAACAAAAAATGTGCTTGTTGGTGACAGGTGGTCACTAAAGCAGGTTTGACTGTAATAACTAATCATAATATTGTTTACTCAGGGTAGCTTCATCTGCTTCAATGCTGTTCTTCCTGAGAGCCCTGCAATTATTATTACCCCAGTGATTGCGAGGTATCCATTTTACACCTTGGTAGAGAGTGGCAAACATGGATTAAAGTATTTTGCTAGGGCTGCTCACATACATCCATGGTCTTAGCCTGTGGGTATTTCAATGTTTTTTCACCTGTATACGCGTTCCATGATAACCATCCATATCAGTGTCTCGCTGAGAAGAATGAGGAGAATAATAGTGTCAAACTCTACTGGCCGTTTACAGTAGTTGCTGGCCAACTTACATGTTAATGATTATCGGTTCCTTGTGGTTGTTCTAACTACTGTTTTTTTCTCTCATATTCTAGATTTCATAAGTTGGTGTGGGGCAACTATGGAATGAGTAAGGGTGACTTTGCCAATGGAACAGTCATCGGCGGGACAGATAATGGTGGCATCTACATATATGATGCTTCAAAGTTGCTGTCGAGTAGCGAGGCTCTGATTCATAAAATGGACAAAGTAAGTTGGATCGATTCATTTGATTGCAAGTGTTGCAAACCAGAAACAAAAATGGATTCTTATAAAGTAAAGTGAATTGAGTACCCATTAGTCAGATTGGGATCAACTTAATAATCCACCCATCCATCCATCTAGCCCCATCCAGATCGATTCATTTAATTGCAAGTGTAGCAAAGCAGAAACTAAAAAAAACAAGTAACAATGTCTTTCTAGGTTCACTTCTTTTAGAGTATGTAACTGTCACAGGTAACTTTGAAAAATTACCAAGTTATTTAGATGATGGTTCAAACTCATCTGCTCATTAGCTCTGCAAAATTTAATCAACATTTCTTAAATGCGAGAAAATACTGCTGGCTAATGTCTGATAAATCAATGTATGGTAAATATTATATTTGTCATTTGGTAGTGAGGTTTCTTAGTGGCCTGCTCTTATTGGGAAAGGGGGACAGTATGCCTGTACGTCATGTTGTGGTAGTGGCTGCTAAGAAATCATAAATGTTTGTTAGTAAGCAACCAGAATACCAATGGCTTTAGGTCCTCCGTGGGACCTGGTAATGAGGATTAATGCCTTACCAAAGGGCACTAGAGCATCAACTTGGTTTCAAACCCAGGTCACCGGATTACGAGACCACTGCTCTACCGACTGAGCTATCACGCCTCCTAGTACATTATTTGTGCCATATGCACATACAGCACATGGAAATCCTTTGCCTGATGTATATATATATATACAGCATGCAGTCGTAGACCAGTATTTCTTACATGATTTCACCTTGTACCTTTACAGCACACAGGAGCAGTACGAGCACTTGATGTGAACCCGTTCCAGTCAAACCTCTTAGCATCTGGAGCTAGCGACTCAGAAATCTTTGTTTGGGATCTCAACAATATAGGAACCCCCATGACTCCAGGGGCAAAATCACAGGTATGTTCTTTCTTCTTCTAAACACTGCAATGCAATCTACTGATAGTTGTATTTTCATCCGTTGAGGGAGAAAGAGAGAGAGAGAAAGGGGGGGGGGAGGCAGAGGGGGAGGGGGAAGAAAGGGGGGGGGGGAGAGGTAGAGGTTAGGTTAAATGCAGAGAGTATTTTCCCCCTCCCAATCTTCCCATCTGTGCCACTGTTAAAACAAGATGAATTGTAAGTAATAGGCCTAAATGGTTTGAAAACTTTAACTTGATAATGCAAGACGAAACGTGTTAGATGGATTTTAATTTGATGTGATTGGCTTATCCTTTAGGAGTGCAAAAACAAGGTACCGTAGCGCTTACAAAATTACAGAATGTGAAGAAGAAACTAGACTTGTACACAAAAATGTTTTAAAGGACCTTTGTTCATGCTAAAATTCACATAAAAAACTTGTATAAATTTGATAGGTTGCACTGGGATGCAAGTTTCTGATGACTATAGAAAGGCCTTTGAAACTGTTATTTTTATCATGTTTGGATACCCTTTGTGAACCTTGACCTTGTCTGTCCTGGAAATTACTACCATGTGTGTCTATCAGAGCAACATATCGTTTTCCTGGGCAACTTTTAGCCATGGAGAAAATCTATATGTAGTTGCATACGTGTATGAATGCATTAGAGTTGGTTGAGGCAAAAGGTTGTGCAATAGGCCTGTTTACTAATGATATGCGAGTGACGTCATAATCCCTCGCACCCTAGCGATTGTTACTACGTAGGGCAAGCTTTGCGTGGTGCGGCACGGTCGCCACATTGTTTTTCCATGCCCGCTACGCTATACACATACAAAGCCATTGCTAGCGACCGCGACGTTTTTTCACCCTAATTTCTACAATGGCATCGCCTTCGACATCGAGTTGTAGTTCCAGCAAGCCGTTTTCGCAGTGGACAGTGAAGGAGCTCACCGATTATTTAAGAAAGAGAGGAGTTACGACATCAGGGTACAACAAACAGAAACTAGTTCAACTTGCGACTGCTGTGGCCGATATCGCTTTGCCCCAAGACCCGGACCTTGCGAGCTTCGACTCCGCACGGTCGCTGCGGGAGAAGTTGGAGCGTGCGGGGTGCTCGTTCGACGACCCAATGAAAATCACCGGCTACACCGAGAACTTTGAAAGTATACCAGATTTCGGATTATACGACATTTTCAACTACCTGATAGTAAATAGAACTGACTACGACAGAAAGAAACTCAAAGCATATAATATGTCGATTCCAAAGTCCTTTCTTCCACAATTCTTAATCCATATTTTACACTTCTCCAGGTTCGTCTTTGGTTTGGGGAACGGGATGAAAAACACACCATTCATATGGGGTCTGTCTGCGTACCGTGAATCGCTGTTACACGTGCCGTAACAGCAATGCTTACCTCCCATTTTTGCGATATTTCGTCAGTTTTCGGAAAATAAAATCGAAGATTTGTCATGTACAACTGAGAAAAACTATATTTATTTTAATTATATACCCTAAGGTTGGAAAACAAACAGTTTTAAACGAAGTTTATTAGGACGATGATCAGCCTTTTTTTCCTCGCATTCCCCACATCGCCGTATACAAAGTGTGTGTAGCAGGGCCGTAGCAGACACTGCGCTCGGTTTGTTTGCCAGAGCTTACAACCGTGTGCAAATTTAAAGGTCCGTGAATACATTAGTAAACAGGCCTATTCCTCGAGCTGAATACGGGGGCAGCTTCAGGATTTTGTAATAGAGGGGCGGGGGGTATAGTTCCCACAAAGTCTACCAAGCCCCCCCCCCCCCCCAAAAAAAAAAGTGCAGTCCATACCTCATTTTACACCCCTCGGATCCAACCTTAATTTGATGCTTGCCTTAGGTTATAGACATTGTTTAACAATTTTAAATCTGAGATGCATGGCCCTACGTGTTACCAGTGTCTGTGATGTGGTGTTATATTGAAGCCCTAAAAGAATTGCGCTTCAAAATGATCATGAAGTGCCTCAAAAAAGTAAATATCTTTGAGTGACCGGTTTTACCATACCGGGGTATTCATTTTCCCCAATAGATTGTAGTGTTATAAAAATTTCAATTTCCAATCATACATATCTTGATAATCAGACTGGCGATCGGCTTGTAAAAGTCATGGGGTTCTTGACTGACCTAAAACTTTATAATTATCATTGCAGCATGAGCTAAATCCAGGATTTTGATTCGGAATCTGAGACAAAGATACCCAATATCTCTTTATTAATATATACCCATTTTGTCTATTTCTTAGCCTCCAGATGAGATCAGTTGTGTAGCGTGGAATCGTCAGGTCCAACATATCTTAGCTTCAACCTGTCCTGGTGGTCGATGTGTGGTCTGGGATCTCAGGAAAAATGAACCTATCATAAAAGTTACTGACCACAGCTCAAGGGTGAGTATTATTAATGTTTGAAATCTTTCTGAGATATGACGATCAAGTGCTTATTATTATTACCCAGGCTGTATCCAGACAGACTGATGCATGATCTTGATCAGGGTTCAATAGTCGGACCTCCCAACCTTTCTGATTTTGGCGGAAAATTTCCGCTATATTTTTCTTTTTCCGCTTTTGTCTTTTATTTTCCGCCAAAACAAAAATCAATGCTTCTCATTTAATTTATTCAGGATTGTTAAAAGAAAAAAATATCCAATTTGAAACATCATGTAAAAATCCCTTAATCACATGTAAATGTGCCCAACATCAAGATGTGTGTTGAGTAGCTGCATATGATGCATATTTCTTGATACGCCAGACATGGCGCGACGTGCCACAAATTTTGCTTAGCCGCACAAAATTTTAGGAATTTTGAAAATCAAATGTTGGGAGGTCTGAATAATAACAGGTGTCCATGACACATGAACACCACAATATGTCACCCTGCACTACAATATTTGAAATAATGTCAACTGGGGCCTGGTTCACACAAACACATGTGTAACACAGAACCCCAGAGAAAAAAAAAGGTAGCCAGGAGGCCTGATATAATAATCATTGCCACAAGGTATGGCATATAAACTACATGTTAGTAGTAACCGCAGAAGCATACTCCCCTTGTAATAGCCTACGTTCATTGATGAATTAATTGTTTTTCCTTCGTCATTCAGATATCAAAAAGGCTAATTAATGGAAATTTATGTTCAATTTGCTATTGTTTGGTCACATAAAAACCGATGAGGATTTGTAATCTACCTTAATTTTAATTTGTCTTTGTAATGCACCATAGATACGTTGTAAAGCAGTGGCCTGGCATCCCGATGTCGCTACACAGATGATGCTGGCATCTGAAGATGATCACTCACCGGTCATTCAAATGTGGGATCTAAGGTTTGCTACCTCACCACTCAAAGTCCTGGAAAACCACCAGAGGTAAGAACGGATAATGGCTTGTAATATAGTTCAATTAGGTTTTACAAATTTGAGTCCATAGCCAGGTTCAGAAATTCCACCGCAAAATTGGTAGAAGCGATTGAAATCTTGGCGTATTCGTTTTAAATAGTCATTGGGATGTCAGTTTCCATGTTGTTATCCAATGTAAAATGCATAAAGGCATTGAGGAAATTGAATCAGCTTCCCATACTGGACAAAATACATGAAAAATGGTTATGAGCAGAACACTAGAGTGAGATTTTGTACTTTTTCTTGCAATCATCAAGTTTCTAATTCATCAGAAATACAATGTAAGGAAGTTGTTTGAAGAAAGAAATTGCCATCAGGGCATTTCTCTGTTTAAAGTGCTTTGCAATTTGTGTGGTTTTTACAGAAGCACCATACAAAGTAGTCTCTAAACAGACTGTTGCATGAACCGATTCATATCCACTCTATCATGACACCGTCCAAATCCAAAATGATCTCATGATGTCCATTTTAGCGCTTAGAGACTTTGATGGTAAGCACTTTATAAGTAACATTTTTATTATTAGTAGTATTATTATTATAATTATTATTTCTTAACCTCAGGGGTATCCTATCAATAGCCTGGTGTCCTCAGGACCCCGACCTCCTCCTAAGCTGCGGCAAGGACAACCGCATCATCTGCTGGAACCCCAACAGCAACCTTCCTGGCGGAGAGGTTGTCTACGAGCTCCCGACGTCTGCGCAGTGGAGCTTTGATGTCCACTGGTGCCCAAGGAACCCTGGTCTGATCTCGGCATCATCCTTTGATGGCCATATCAGTGTGTATTCCTTGCTGGGAGGGGGTGATGCTGATAATTCAGTGCAGCAGCAACAGGTGGATCAGGTAGGGACAGACAGGGATTTTTTATTTGTACAAAAATTTGGCAAACTTGGGAGGGTGTGAGAGATCTTGTGTCATTTGTTTGTAAAAATTGACATTGAATTCATTGTTTTCAAAGATGTCTCTAACGTTTAAGCAGTAAGTGCATTTATGTGTCGCCCATGTGTGCCAAACATCAGACTATTTGCAAATGATTTTGATTTTTAATCACAGAGCCACTGAGCAAAGGCTCCTACCGAACCAGTCATACCCTAAAAACAAATCTAGCTGGCTCAATGCTTCTCTTTAATACATATTGCCTCCTCGTTCCCTGGCTCGGACCCCTTCAAACAACTAGCCTCAAAGCAACACGCTCCAACAGAGCCAGTCATTCCCTTAAAACAAATCTGGCTGGCTCAATGTTTCTCTTTAATACATATTGCCTCCTCTTTCCCTGGTTCAGACCCCTTCAATCAACCATCCCCAAAGCACCAGACTCCTACAGAACAAGTCATTCCCTAAAAACAAATCTGGCTGGCTCAATGCTTCTCTTTACAGATCGCCTCTTCATTTCCTGGTTTAGACCCCTTCAATCAAACAGCCCCAAAGCAACACGCTACAACAGAACCAGTCATACCCTAGGAACTAACCTAGCTGTCTCTCTTCTCTTCAATACAGATTGCCTCCTCATTCCCTGGTTCAGATCCTTTCAATCAAACAGCCCCAAAGCAACACGCTACAACAGAACCAGTCATACCCTAGGAACTAACCTAGCTGTCTCTCTTCTCTTCAATACAGATTGCCTCCTCATTCCCTGGTTCAGATCCTTTCAATCAACCAGCCCCACAGAAAAAGACTCCTACAGAACCAGTTATTCTCAAGAAACCACCCAAGTGGCTCCGGAGACCAGTAGGAGCATCCTTCGCTGTAAGTCAGGCTTTCCTCTGTCAAGGCTCTCTGATAGATGTAGTTAAGAAAATGATGGTGTGATGGGGTCCTCTTACAGTTTAATGCAGTGGATTATGAAAAGCAATTGATAGTGATGTATTTTCGATGTTGTAAAATGAAAGAAATCAATTGATATGTAAAACTATTTTAAGGACTTTGGCCAACTGTATATTGGCAAAGCACTGTACATGAAATGGTTATTGTCTTTTAAAGATATATATGCTTTCTGGCTACTTAGAGGCCACTCTAATACCTTGCCAGTGCCATAAGTGCTTTGAAAGGGGATCGAACTTACAGCCTTTGAATTTTAATTAAAACCCCTCGACCACGACACCTCTACTGTTGCACCTGCATGTCTTTTAACTTTTCTTTCCCTCCCATCCTTGATTCTAGTTTGGTGGAAAGCTCATCTCATTTGAGAGTCCCAAGCAACCACCCAACCAACAGCAGCAGATGGCACCTGTGGCAAGGTCCGTTCACATCAGTCAGGTTGTCACGGAAACGGATCTCATCAACAGATCCAACACCCTGGAGGAGGCTCTCTCAAAGGGAACGTTTGTAGAATTCTGCAACAGCAAGATCAAGCAATCGCAAAATGAGCTGGATACTCAAATCTGGAGGTTTCTAAAGGTAAGATCATTGTGGAAATCTTAAAGAGAAGGTTGAGTTCTGGAAAGAGGTGAAAAATAGTTTGTTAGAGTTATCATTGTATTATGCAAGTGTGGAAGAACATCAGATTAACAATGTTCTCTAAAAAAAATGGCTCTTCAAATGCCTTGATATTCTAAATATGGCATGTAACATCATTAAAATCACGAACATGCACAAGCAGACCTGCAGACTTGATATTTATCCAACATAAGTCTTTTGGTATGTCTTTATTGAAGTGACTTCCATCTAAGGCAATTTTGTGCACTTCCAAAATGTGCTCTGAATAGTCCAAGTTTAATGTCTTCAATTTGCTTTGTATTATATTCTCCTCTGTATTTTTTTCTGCCCTCTGCAGGTAAACTTTGAGAAGGAGCCACGCAGTCACTTTGTGAGTTTATTGGGTCACGACTCTCATGAGCTAGCGAGGAAAGCAGCCGTCGCTACTGGAGCCTCCATGGGTCTTACCAATGGCAGCTTAGATGGTAATTAACTAGTCTCATTCTTCTGTTAATCTACAAAAGGACATGTAGCCTATCACAAAAAGATCTGTATGTAGATTACACTTGTGTATGCAGGCACCCTAAACACCATTACTTAGGCAGTAATTCACTAATCAAATTTGAGATAGAAATGACAGAGTTGTGATGATAATAATATACATTTATCAAGTGCAGACACCATGCAAATATATATATTTTCCATTGCGCTGCAAGAGCTCTGAATGTGCTTAAAAACAACAACATTAAGTTGCATGAAAAGATAAGCTTTTAGTTTTTATTAAAAGGTACTTAATGATGGTGATTTCCAGTTATTCCACACACATGGGTCTCCGAATGCAAGTGTTTGATCTCTCAATGTTATTTTTGTAACAATAACCTGAGACCTATCTGACCAGTGGTGATTTGAAAAACAAATTTGATATGTCTCATCTCATATATTTTACTATTTTATGATTGAATAAAGAGAGATACACAACAGCTTTATTACTCAGTCCGCTATTCCAGACATGTAGTCTTGCGGACATGACATTAAAAGCAGTGGCAGACAATTCTACTTGTAGCTTTCTTTTAACCCTTACTGTACTGGGCTATTTTGAGCACCTCCTGACTGGGGGGGGGGGGGGGGGGGGGGGGGGGGGGGGCCTGGGAGGCCCCCCCCCCCCATGATCTCGGCCGTCGGATGTCCGGTGAACACCAAAATTTGCATGTTTGTAGATATTTATCTAACGAACAAGATGGTGTAATTAGTTTTTTGCGAATATGCAAATTTTTGTCGTTATAGCCTAATTAATTATGCAAAATGCTAATTTTATGCATTTTACAGAAAACGTGTCAAACTCCACTTTTTGAATGTTGAAACTCATTATTCATATGAAACTTCTTTTCTAACACAAAATATTTATTTTGATGTAATTAATAATGATAATTCATGCAAATTTGATGCGATTTTCAAATATTTATTTTCTTATGTATTTTATTGTTTTTTATTTCTTATTATATCTATTGTTTTTATTTCTTATGTATTCTTTTGTTCTGGAATACATCAAGTTACTTTGAGAAACATATAAAAGCAATTCGATATCAATTCATATCACCCACTTAGGAAGGAATACATCTAAACCTGTATTCACATTTCTGCTTGTACATGAATATATGCAATTATAGCATTTTTGATGACATGCGCATACTAATTGTTATGTAACACCTCACAGGTATATCCGATTGCGACGAAAATGGTATCAAAACGTGCGTAAGACTTGAGGGAAAAAAGTCATGAAACGACAATTCAAAATTTCAAGCAGTTGCGGCGCAATCTCCGAAAATTTCGAGGGGGGGCCTCCCAGCCCCCCCCCCCCCCCCCCCAGTACAGTAAGGGTTAAGCATGATCTCAAGTTCAGTGATAAATGCAGACTGTTATTAGCAGTTCATGCCTCCACCACCAATGGTGTCGCTGAAGGTTATGTTTTTCTCCTGAGCTCAATTGTCATAGTTCTTCATTCATAGAGCATATCAAATTAAAATTATTAAAATGACAAGCCTTATTTAATCAAAATAGTATCTCAGGTGCATGCTTGGTTTGACCGATTCTCTGCGCTCTGGTTGATATATTTTCTTTATCGTTCATTAATGCTATTTTGCTAAGATTCAGGCTCTATCCATACCACCCTCCATGTCAGTGAAAACTTAAGTGGTTCTTCTTCGTCTCAAAGATACTTGACACCTTGTAAGTTCAAAGGTCATGGAGTTCAATCTATCCCATGCTATCTTGTGTGATGCTGCATGCATGCAGACCGCTTCACTCTCTTCTACATCTCATGTAGCGAATGCTTCATTTAAACTATTACATTAAGATGGGAAATAATATAGTCAGTTAAATACAAAATAGACTTCTTCTTCTTCTTCTCCTTCTTCTTCTTCTTCTTCTTCTTCTTCTTCTTCTTCTTCTTCTTCTTCTTTCTTCCTCTTCCTCTTCTTCCTTTTCCTCTTCTTCCTTTTCCTCTTCCTCTTCCTCTTCCTCTTCCTCTTCCTCTTCCTCTTCCTCTTCCTCTTCCTCTTCCTCGTCCTCGTCCTCGTCCTCTTCCTCGTCCTCGTCCTCGTCCTCGTCCTCGTCCTCTTCCTCTTCCTCGTCCTCTTCTCCTTCCTCTTCTTCTTCTCCTTCCTCTTCTTCTTCTCCTCCTCCTTCTTTTTCTTCTTCTTCTTGTACTTCTTCTTCTTCTTCTTCTTCTTCTTCTTCTTCTTCCTCTTCTTCTTCTTCTTCTTCTTCTTCTTCTTCTTCTTCTTCTTTTCCTCCTCCTCCTCCTCCTCCTCCTCCTCCTCCTCCTCCTCCCCCTCCTCCTCCTCCTCCTCCCCCTCCTCCTCCTCCTCCTCCTCCTCCTCCTCCTCCTCCTCCTCCTCCTCCTCCTCCTCCTCCCCTCCCCTCCTCCTCCTCCTCCTCCTCCTCCTCCTCCTCCTCCTCCTCCTCCTCCTCCTCCCTCCTCCCTCCTCCTCCTCCCTCCTCCTCTTCCTCCTCCTCCTCCCCCCTCCCCTCCTTCTTCTTCTCCTCCTTTCCTTCTCCTTCTCCTTCTGAATTTCTCTGCAAGCATTTATCATTAGATTTGCTGATGAGTTTCTTTCAAGCAATGTTGAATGTCTATCACTTCTTCATGACAGATCCTGATGTGTGGATCAATCAATAGAGTTGTGTTTTCTTGTACAGTTGTACTTGTCTGGACCTCACTACAAGACATTTCTATTACATCTTCTTAGTTTTGTATGTTCTGTGGATGGTATAGTCAGCAGAGTGTACCTGTAGTACTACCTTTTGAGTAGTTGTAGACTATGGCATTCATTCTAGCTATGTGCTAGTATACAAATGATGCACAGGTTTGAGTGCGTCGGTAGGGATTGTGTGCACAAGGTACCTTTGAATGGTTTTAGACCAAATTCAAAGGTATCGCGTGCACACAATTCCACCGACCCACAAATTAAACCTGTGCATCATCTGTTTTATAAGATGGGGCCCAAAAAATTGTCAAAAATACAAAATGTTGTTATTTATATATGCATATATGCATCCGGTAATTACCGGACGCATGATTTTTTTTACTGGACGCATGATTTTTAACTTATCATGAAATTTGAAGAAAAAAAAAATTGTAGATTTTTTAATATTTTTTAAACAGATTATAATTATCAAAAAACATGAAAAACAAATAATTATCACCAAATAAAAATTATTAAAAAAATAAAAAAATAAAAAAAAAATAATGAGAATTATTAAAAAAAAAGGATATCAGTGGTATCGATCGCCGATATCGCGTGCATCCAGTAAAAATAATTACATGGTAATTGACCAATCAGATTGCGGGGATTCTTCTACTCATCATATAATATTCCTTTCTCTGCCTGTTTAGTCTGTTCTCGAAACATTGATGACAAATTTCAGTGACAGGTGTACAAAGTCTATAGACATGATTCGTTTCTAAATCTTCTTGAAAAATGAAAACAGTAACTTGACTTAGGAGGGTTCTGAATTTCTCTACAAGCATTTATCATTAGATGTGCTGATGTGCGTCTTCCAAACTATGTTGAATGTCTATTTTTCTTTGTAGCATATCCTGATTTTGTGATCAGACAGTAGCGTTATCATGCTTTCTTGCATATTTTTCTCATCTGGATCTCACTACGAGACATTTCTATTACATCTTCTTAGTTTTTGATGTACTGCGGATAGTAGTGTCAGCTGAGTTTACCTGTAGTTGTAGACTATGACGTTCATTTCAGCTATGTGCTAGAATCCGTTTTTCTGCTTGTCTTGTCTGTTCTGGAAACTTGATGAAAAATTTTAATGACCGGTGTACATATACTGTACACATGATTCTATGGCTAAAATTTCTTGAAGTTGTGGAGTAGTTCACGTTTATATTTCATTCTTCTTCATCCTTATTCAGTAATCCCATTCTGAATAGACTCATGCTTCATTTTAGTAGTTTTTGTACACTCTTTTTGCAGATTAGAAAAGTGTAATGTGTATGTAGCAAACTCAAGTAGAATATACAATCAGGAAATTTGTGTTGAATATTTGTAACGAGTACCTCGATATATATGAAGGCCCAGCTTTAACAGACTACCACTGCCTTGAAGAGAGCATTGTCACAAAATCTCAGGATGTATCAGGGTTGAACACTCTCACTATCAGTCTGTTTGATTTCTAATTTTGTACATCTATATTTCTTGTATCTTCTATTTCTTCTTAAAGAATAGAATAAAAAAAGAATATTGTTATCAAAATGCCTTCATAAAAGTAATGTGATGATCTACACATCTGTTACATGTACATTTGCATGACGATAGCTTATTACTTGGGTATTACTGTGCCAGTGAGTGCAAATGTAAATTATCATTCAGATTAATGTAGGAAAAGCTGATAGAAAGGAAATTTTTGAGAGTTTTGTTCCACTCATTAACAGTTGTGCTGTATAATGGGGGCAATATTTTCTCAGATAAATGCAGTTAACTCTCCATAAGTCAAATCTTTCGGGACCACAAAAAATAATTCGATTGATATCAAAATTTGAGTTGGGAATTGTAAAGAACACATGGTTTTCATAGATTAGTTTGTTTTTAAATTGATTTGACTACATTGAGTTATACAAAGTAAACTTTAGTTGACTATTTCTTTCTGATGATGTTGTAGGGGATGGTGTAGATGCAGAAGACCTTGCCGAGAGGATGCAGAGGTTATCAGGAGACAGCCTGGAACAGGAGGCTAAGCTTGGCAGTGGGTCAAAGGTCAGTCTAAAATACAACCATGTTTATGAGAAATTAGACTTTCTGTGATATTCTTTTTTTCATGGAGGCCAAACCCGCCATTAACATATCATTATTTAGCAACCCTTGTAAAGCCAGGGTCATAAAATCGTCATGTATCAAATAGTTTTACCAGAATATGTGGTTCATGTATTGTGTCATACTGAAAATATTATCATGGACATCAGAGCTATTACTTTTTTGACAAGTGAAGGAAGATATTGATGAAATCTGCTCAAATTAGTTATGAATAGAATAACATTCGTGTCCCTACTGATTTATGTCAAAATTTAAGTCTATGAAAGCAGAAAACTAGGTTGATTTTTACAATTATTTCACTGTTTTATAATTCTTTCTTTTTAAAAACCAGACGCCAAGTGACATGTATGGGGATGGTGATGGTGCTGCAGCGTTTGATGCCATCGTAGCAGCAGGTCCAGTGGAGGTGGAGAATAGAGGGAAAGAAGAGGACACAAGATCAGCAACACCTTACACTATATCACAAGAAGATGGTGAGTACATGTATATGGGTCATTCGTTGATGTTGTGGCAAAAAATATGACGGTGTCCATGTAACATTGGTATCAGACCTTCTACTACACGTGGAAGATGAATTATCGGTTAGAAGATTTGTATGCAGTGGATATATCAATATAGTAGTGCCCTGCCAGAATCGTTCCAGTTTTAGTTGTTTTTCTTCAAAATCTTTGCTTTATACACATTTCTCTTTTTACCAGCGTTACATGGACGCCATATTCATATAACATTACCTGAACTTTGGGTCCATAATATTGATTCACCGTGAAGCTTGAGTAGTTCTGAAGATAGTTTCAACTCTAATCAATCAACCTCTTCATTTAAATTTGAGTTCATCGATACATTTGTATAAATAAAGATAATCTTCTATTGGTACACATATTACAAGAAATATATCACAACTTTGATCATATATGGCTTAAAAATGCATTGGAATTGATTTCGTAAACTGAGTGTTATGAAAACTACGATATCATAGCACAGACTTGTCATTATAACTTACATATTCGTTTGGAATGATAAGATAGTGCCCTCCTGACCAGTCATCTGTTTGGCGCTAGAGTTTGAATCAACTCTTTACCTCTCACTCTCTAACTCTCTCTCTCTCTCTCTCTCTTTCTCTTTCTCTCTATCCCTCTCAAAACATCTTACCATCTCTTTTCATTTTCCCTGACGCTACCAGATACCAATGGTCTCGTCAGCCAAGCCATCATCACAGGCAAGTTTGAGATCGCCGTAGAGCTCTGTCTCCATGACAACCGTATGGCTGATGCAATCCTCCTAGCCATCACAGGGGGTCCTGAACTCTTGGCCAAGACACAGCGTAAATACTTCCAGAAGACAAAGAGCGATATCTCTAGGGTAAGTGCAATAGCTGAAGACGGGAAGTTATGGAGAACCTGTGTCTCAAGTTCCATTTCATTGTCGCCCCAACAGCCGCCAAGCTATGGGAAACAGATAGATTGATAGATAGATAGATCGATCGATTGATAGATAGACAGACAGATAGATAGATAGAAGTGCATGAGATCAAGTGTATTGTAATAGCGTGATATTAAAGAGGCCTGTTCATTTTGTAGTGAGTCCACAGGTAAATTGATAGCCAGAAAGTGTACTGACATCCGATTTGTTATTCTCTATAGTGTTGTCATATGATTAACTTTGATTTGTTGAACAAAATAAATGTCATCATTTTGTGCTGTGGAGTTGTCCTTTCTATTATCACAAAACTTTTTAGATTGCATTTTGTTCTACATCACTCTTAGTTAACTCCCCCCCCCCCCCCAAAAAAAGGAGTTTTTGACATTACCTTGTTAAATAGAAATCCTATATTTATTATTTGTTAGTTTCTTTCAAGAGTTCAATATTATGTATGTGTGTGACTTCACAAATATTCATTTCCTAACACTTAAAACATACCAAATGAGAAGACATCTTTTTTGTGCAGTAAAACTTGTATTTTCACAAATGAAAGTTCCAATATCCAGTTTTTGCACCAGTTTGTCTGGTATCATATTTATATGTCATATATTTGAAATCACTTGATGTGGAACAGCACACCATTTCATGTTTCATTTCTTCCCCTCCTTTACAGTTAATATCGTCCATTGTGACTAAAGATGTACGCGATCTGGTTCAGAACACGGAGCTGGAGAATTGGAAGGAGGCCCTCACAGCTCTGCTGACGTACAGTCAACCTAAAGAGTTCTCATCATTATGTGGTAAGATTCTCTCTTATCTTTAGCAAATCTGTACCTCTCTCTGTTCAATTCCCTCCCATTTCTTTCGTTTTTTCTTGTATTTTGTTTTTGTTTTTTGTAATATAGTTGTAATTAAAACTATTTTGAAGTATGTATTTTACAGTAGATGTAACCTTATTGCATGAGTAATTTGATAGTGCACGACAAATTTGCTGTTTGGAAAATTCGATACTTTGATTTTTATTTTCAGTTTACACCTGTGAGGTCAGACAAAATGCACACTCATCAAGTTACCTACAAATTTTATCAAATTTATTCAGAATGAAAGCTAGAGATAATTTCAAATTAATATTCCCTGAAGTCTTTACCATTCCTTTGTACACAATCTCTTGTCCATTTTAGGACATTGCATTTGTATTTGTATATGATTTTAACCTTTAAGGTTTACAGGAATGATTTTCGAGATATGTATCTATATGTATTTGTGATTAATATTTTATGTAACATTGAATGGCATTGAGTGGGAACCAAGGGTTTCATGAAATACCCTCAAAGCAAGTGTGTATATCCTTGTGTCCAACAAAAGAAAAGCCATTCATCATTATCATCAATTTTCACCTTTACATCCCAATGTTTTTTGTATTAATTTGCCCATTAAACAAAGAGAGAGAGAAAAAAACTATTTTATCCTTACCTAAGTATTTTGCAAGGGCTGTGCTCATATATACTACCCATGTCTTAGCCTGTGCATATTTCAACCATAGTGAACCTTATTCACCCCAGACCATGAGGAATTGAAAATTTACTGCTCAAAGCGCAAGATATTTTATGGGGAGTGTTTCACAAAAATTAAGTTCGACTTTAAGTTGTACTTAACTATGGCAGGCCATTCATGCCACTGTTTGCTCTCACCGTTTACTGGCACTGGTCTCTCGAGGGACGTACAAATCATGGTTACAAATCTACAGAATTTACATTTTTTGATAATTCATTATTGAAGGAAAAAATATGTAAAGATCATAATCATGAAAGCAACCAGTGACATGAATGGCCTGCCATAGTTAAATCCAACTTACAGTCGATCTTAGTCTTTGTGAAATGCCCCCTTGGTCAGCTCTAAACCCTTCATACAAGTAATATTTTTTATGACCTTTGATCCTTACAGATATCTTGGGTCAGAGGTTAGAGACTGAGGGTAATGGTAAACTAGCAGCTCAGGCCTGTTTGTGCTACATCTGCTCTGGTAGCGTAGACAAGCTAGTATCATGCTGGGCTCAAGTCAATCATGCTGCTACATCTCCTATGTCACTACAGGTACAAAACAGCTGGATTACAAGTCTAACTAATTTTTTTTTGAAAATCTCTGTCGATTATTATTTAGCATTGTATATACTTTTTTATTCCTAAATAATGTCTGTTTGTTTGATGATTAGTTTGTAATGGTCTACATTTTGACAATGATATAAATATAGAAATACCACAAATATTTGTGGCATTGTTTTCTAATTGAATTAGGTTTAAATCCAGCTTTGAAATATATTTACTTATAACGACTGATCCTTATTCTATATGAACCCTACAGAAACACTTCTAAGATTGAGCGGTATTTTCATTGCAAAATTATAAAGTACAACCAGGTTTATTTCCATAGTTTGACCTTTGACATTTGCAGGACCTTGTAGAAAAGGTAGTGACCCTTCGGAAGGCGATCGAGCTGAAGCTTGGCTACGCCCCAGAGATCTCGTCACCCATCTTGGCCAGCAGACTGACAGAGTATGCTCATTTACTAGCATCTCAGGGCAACCTTGATACAGCTATGAACTACCTCGGACAGTCCCGGGAGGTAAGTAGGATATATATTCATTGATTCATTCCATGTGAGTTTGTCAGCTCTCCGTCTTGGCCCACTAACTGACTCAAGTTCCCGGTTCGAAACTGAGTCAAGTCTTTCGGATGGTGACGTTAAAGATGAAGTTGAGTTCTGGTCATGCGATTGCATTGTGAAAGAAACGGTGTGGAATCGACTAGAAAAGGTGGATCATCTAGCAAATAAGAATTTGTGTGTATTGCAAGGTTCTGGAAACATCAAAATGATAAGAAATTTGGTCAAGTCTTGGTAAAGTTACAAACACTGTACACAGAAAGATGTATATGGGACTACACGAACACGTGGCGTAAAAATCCTACCCCCGAGTTTTACGATGTAACGTGACATATTTAAAATATAAAGGCATTTGAAGAGCCATGCTTTTCAGGGAACATGTCTTATCTGATGTTCTTCCACACTTGCATAATAAGAATGTTAATGCTCACAAATTATTTTTCACCTCTTCCCAGAACTCAACTTTCTCTTTAAAGGTCGATCCCCAGACGTAAATACTCGTATCTGATTGATACACGCCCGTAAAAACTCGATTACACACACACACATTGTCAAATATACTCTTTTTTGTTCGCGTCAGCTCTTGTAGGATTTAGTGGGGTACAAGTGTGATTTTCTCAGTGATATTTAAGTATTTTTTTAGTTTATCAGAGCTATTTTGGAGCTTTCCGTAGCTCAATCGCTCACCGCTTTCATGTATAAAAATTTCCCTGGTTCATTCATTCATTTATTCATCCATCCATATAGTCAGTCGATACCTCAATACTGCTCTTAATTACCCAGGGGAAAAAAACCATCTGAAATTAGAAGAAGATCAATCTGTTGGTAGAAACATTAATTCATTCATTTATTCTTTTACATTCTTTTATACATGTTACCATGCTATTTTAAAGATGAGACTCATATATATTTTTTTACACTTTCGCTCTCTCTCTCTCTCTCCCCCCCCCCCCCCCCCCTTTCTCCCTCCCCCCCCCCCCCCCTCTCTCTCTCTCTCTCTCCCTCTCCCTCTCTCTCTCCCTCTCTCTCTTTCTCTCTCTCTCTCTCTCTCTCTCTCCCTCTCTCTCTCCAGGCCAAGATTGTAGAATTAAAGGACAGGCTACACAAAGCACAGAGTGGAGACAGTGGAACCCAGTCGCCATGGAAGCAAGTCAGCGTTCAATCCCAACCAGCTGCTCAACAACCATCAAATGCTGTAAGTTCTTCCACCAGTACTACATATTATATCCCGCATACTAAGAATCTTGCAATCTGATTGGTCTAAACAAGGTCACATGACCAATGATAGATGGTACTATCTCCCTGCGATAGGAATTTTGTACAGTAATTTTTTGCTGCTGCCCCACGTGCCCATTGAATAAGCATAGCAAAGTAGGCTATGCGAAATGTCAATGTCAAATGAGCGTGCATCAACTATATAACATGATATGCATGTTGTGCTTTGTAAAATCTAGCTGAAGCTAAACTGTCTGCTGAATCAGTTCTTTTAATTATGTAAAATTCACTTTAAATAGACCTTATTGCCGATGTGGGATATAAAAAAAATATTAACCTCATTTACTCGGGCAATGGATACACACTATCATCGCCAAGGTGATCTCGGGGCTACTATCATCCTGAGCCGAACCGAGAGATGATGGTAGCCCCGAGATCACCGAGGCGATGATAGTTTGTACCATTACCCTCATAGTCGATTAATATTTGCTTACTATACAATTACTGAGGAGAGAGGAGGTGGATAGCAAGTACATTTAGATGTTCAACCTACAAAAGGTTGTCTAAAAGTGGTCTATGACGTATTTAAATAGACTGTAGAATTCTAGGTACAAAAATCTGTGACACAGGCGCTTGGTATAAATGAGTTGCCTCGGCGGACCTACAAACCTACAAAAGGTTGCCTGAAAGTATTATATGACATATTCAAATAAAGTTTTAAATTCTAATTTCCCTGTACAGGAAAGTTAGATGTGAAATAAATTAAAAGACAACTAGTAATCTTCTAAAATGGATGATTCTAGTGGATGTTTCGGGGGTAGTTGGAAAGACAGTGAGACTTGCATGTGTCTTTTGTATAGACTTAACCCTTACTGTACTGGGGGGGGGGGGCCTGGGAGGCCCCCCCCTCGACATTTTCGGAGATCGCGCCGCAACCGCTTGGAATTTTGAATTGTCGTTTCATGACTTTTTTCCCTCAAGTCTTGCGCACATTTTGATACCATTTTCGTCAAAATCGGATATACCTGTAAGGTGTTACATAACAATTAGTATGCGCATGTCAATCAAAAAAGTGCTATAATTGCATATATTCATGTACAAGCAGAAATGTGAAGATATGAATTGATATAAAATTGCTTTTATATGTTTCTCAGAGTAACTTGATGTATTCCAGAACAAAAGAATACATTAGAAATAAAACAATAGATATAATAAGAAATAAAAAACAATAAAATACATAAGAAAATAAATAGTAGAAAATCGCATCAAATTTGCATAAATTATCATTATTAATTACATCAAATAACTATTTTGTGTTAGAAAAGAAGTTTCATATGAATAATGAGTTTCAACATTCAAAAAGTGGAGTCTGACAATTTTTGTAATGATTCTAGTTCCCTAAATATAGTTCCTGATTTGATATATATGAATGCATAATGTGCATATTCATAATTTATGCAAATTAACCTATGCATTTTCAAATATCATAAAAATAATGAAACCTCATGAATTTGAGATGAAGGAAACATTAATTCAATACATTTTCAAGATTCTTCACATGTCTATGTACAAATATGTAGCATTTTCTGTAAAATGCATATTAATTAGGCTATAACGACAAAAATTTGCATATTAGGAAAAAACTAATTATCCCATCTTGTTCCTTACGTAAATATCTACAAATATGCAAATTTCCGTGTTCATCGGACATTCGACGGCCGAGATCATAGGGGGGGGGGGCCTCCCAGGCCCCCCCCCCCCCCCAGTCAGAGGGTGCTCAAAATAGCCCAGTACAGTAAGGGTTAATGGATTAATTGATCATGAAGATGTGCCATGATCTTGATTTCATATGACTTCTGAAAAGCCCCAAAGGATTATCTGTTTTTATCATATTTGCATGTAAGCCTTTAAATTCCATAATCTGGTCATAGCCTGGTTTTAAGTTGTGTGGTGGTCTTGGCCTAAAAAACAAAAATCTGTGACACATGCGCTTGGTATAAATGAGTTGCCTCGGCGGGCTCGCTGTCTCATCCAACTTTCTCTAGGGAGTAAATTCCTTCCAAACAACAACAGTGTCGAGCAGTTCCTTCTACAATTCACAGGTCACATCCAGGCTTCAGAGAAACACCTACCCTGCCCAAGGACAACAACAACCCCAACAGCCACAGCAGCCACAACAGCCACAGCAGAATGTCAACCAGGCAACGTATGCTCCCACTCAGGCAACAGCAGCAACATCAGCCACCACCACAACACAATCCAATATGAGAATGAAGGCGGGTGGTGCCAGGAAGTATCCCTCGTATCCTCAGACCGGTATGCAGCAGTATTACTCGCGGGAGGTACCTGGAGGGACCAACCCAGGACAGGTTGGTCAGCAGCCATCACAGTTCCCGACACCGGGGTACGTCCAAGCGCCAACCAGCACCGCGCCTACATCCCAACCTGGTGGCTTCTACAATCCCATGGACTACGGGGCACAGAATCCAGCAGTCTCTCAGCCCACAGCCACGCCCGGTCGTGGTGGGTACCCCCAACAGCCTCAACCAGCAGTGTCCTCTGCTCCTAGCCAGTATGCACCACCTGCTCCACCATCAAATCAATCCATGGAAACCATCAACGCCACCAAGGCATGGAACGATCCTCCGCTTCTCAAACCTAAAGCAGTAAGTCGTTTTATCAGGGGGGGGGGGGTGTTTCACAGAGACTAAGATAGACTTTAAGTTGGACTTAACTATGGCAGGCTGTTTATGCCACTAGTTGCTCTTACCATTGGTCTCAATATACCAGTTCGTAGATACAATCTGAGCACGCGCAGATAAAGGTCACTTGAACAAAATTGTAAAACCCACTGAGACTAATACTGGATATATGCTCCGGACATGCTCATGAAAGTTATGTAATCATTATTCATGCATGCACCTGGGATGCATTCTATTGAACACAGGTGGAAGTAATCCTTTCAAGAGGGCAAACAAAGAATCACCTTCATGACTTTAGATGTGATTGTTCCAAAAGACACAAAGTTGGATTTATCTATGTTTAAAAGATATGTGGATATTTGGGGTCATATGACCAACGTGCTAACTACGAATTGGTCTATTATCATCAGTAGATAATATTTTTTCCTTCAATAATGAACTATCAAAAAAGGTAAATTCTGTAGATTTGTGACCATTATCTTTATGTCCCTTGAGAGACTAATGCTAGTAAATGGTGAGAGCAAACAGTGGCATGAACAGCCTGCCATAGTTAAGTCCAACTTAAGGTCGATCTTAACCTTTGTGAAACACTCCCCAGTTGTATGATTAGCAACATACAGTTTCACAGCTGCTTGAAAGCGATACTTACATCACCGGAAGTTGTCCCGATTGAAGCATTTCATCTTAAATGGCTCCCTCTCATAGAGATTGTACATGGGAGTTTACTATTTGGAGCAACATGACTTAACCTTTGACCCATCTTGCGTATGCGTTGGTGCAAGTGCCACAACTATCTTTCTCCATACACCATGGACATGTTGAAAGAGAATATTCGTTTGTATGTATTTCATTTGTCATAGCCTTTGGTCGTTATCTCATAAATGAACAGATGCCTTGTGCATCATAATTGGAGATTGAATGCTCTTAACTCTGAATCTGAATGATGTATTTAGAACTGGCATAAATTTTAAAGTGGTACATAGCTTAACTACAGGGCTGGACACTTAACAGGTGCCCTGGGAACACGGGCGCCCACATTCTACGCCCGTACTCACTAAATTGTACAATTAGTGCATAGGGCTCATGTATTCAGAATCTAGAAATCTAGACCTGCTTCCAAAAAAGTAATTTGTGGACCCCTGCCGTATTAGCATTTTTGATGCAAGCGGGTTAGTGCTACTCTTATTTTGGAGCAATTATTCTTACTTTTTGGCCCTTGAACTAATGTGATGGATCCCAGAGTTTTTTCTTTTGTCAAAATTTCTGTGTAAAAAGTATGCAAAATGACTGTATTCCTAATTTTGGCTTGAAGGCTTCCTTACATTTGCTAACGCTTCCTAATGTTTGAAATTATCGTTACCGGCCGGATACAAGCGCCATTTTTGGTACAGGGCTTCCTTAGGTCCTACTGAACGATATTAGGGTAGGAGCCTGGTACGCTTGATATTTTTTTATAACCCCATTTCTCTTTTTCTCCCCTACCAGCAACCCAGTGCGTACGTACCACCACAGCCTATCACTGCCCCTATCATGGGTGCTCCAGTGGAGGAGGCACAGCAAGCCTACCAACAGCCTACTGGCTATCAGCAACAGCAATCTCAACAATACAACCAACAACAAAAGCAGGTACAGCAAGAAGTGAGTGGTCATTGTGGTATACTAACCAATGCAAACAAAACTGTAATCACTATGAACTTGACGGACAAAGAAAGCGGACAGAATATACAGTTCCTCAGGTAGACAAAGGAACGTCCCTTCAGGTAGACAAAGTAACATCCCTTCACTGCTATTATGTAAAAATGTGTAGAACAGGTGTCACATGCATATTCACCTGTTTTACACATTTTTACATAATAGCAGTGAAGGGTTGTTCCTTTGTCTACCTGAGGAACTGTATATTTTGTCCGCTTTCTTTGTCTGTTATGTTCATAGTGAATGTAAAGGCTTGTTCAGACATGATGTAGGAAACCCGCTGGGTGGTATTCTCCAAAGCGGACTAACTTTAGTCCATGGTTTAATGCACCGACTAAGTATGGAATGCCAAGAGTCCATATGAATATGTTTTTTGAATAATTTAATCTGTCACTAAATTGAAATAAAATTGAAATATTTTGTGATAATATAGTTAAGTATAACAATACAACTATGAAATAATTATGTTATCATGGTAATTTAGGGACATATCAAATTATTCAAAAATATATTTATATGGACACTTGGCATTCCCTACTTAGTCAGAGGATTAAACTGTGGACTAAAGTTAGTCCACTTTCAAGAATACCACCCGCTGTGTTTTATTTCATGATGACATAAAGTGTCACACACTTCACATTTCTGTACCTTATAACACAGAGCTCAGTGAACACGCCCAAGTCCTTAGTTTCATGCAGTTGCAATTCATTAACACGTTTAAAAAATGTGGTGGCTTTTTTTGCGGCAGTTCACTGCGCCATGTCTGAATAAGCCTCAATGTGACTTCCTAACATCAGTTTATCAGCTGCCGTTAAAAAAAAAACTCATTGCCTGCTTTGGTCGATCAATGGAACAAACACTGCATTGCCACAGTTGACTTTTGTCACACTTGCAGTATTAGGGACTTTTAGATCAGCACAACGAAAACGTGGATTGCTACGATCGACGTCCTTTTAATGCACTGCCTTGAATGGACGTCACGTGTCAGTCCACGCAAATCTAAAAGTCCCTAATGTGAACGAAGGGGAGCCCTATGTCTGCGCACCTCACATTGCACTTGAAATTAACAAGGATTTTCAATTGTATTTCCCCTGCACTTGATCTGATCTGATCTTATTCTTGATATTCTAGAAAGTAAGTGTGCCAAAGATTTTGTCACAATTCGAAAAAAACTGTCATTTTCACAAGGAGAGGCGGCGGTGTCATTTTGACATTATAAAAACGAAGGTTCCCATGTCTGCCCACTCATTCACTTTACCCGCAGTTCTGAATTTTTGACGTGAAAGATAGCAGTTCAAGAAAAAGGGGTTGTTTTGGGGTTAGATCCATAGTACATAAGAGATCAACAAAGTTAGGGTAAAACGGTGCTGCTGATAATTTGATGTTGGCACGGTTGCATTCAGGTATAACTTGCATTCAATCTTGATACTTTTTACTAACTTCCTTTCTACAGTTAATAGACCCTTTTGTTTTTTTGCATTTTCCTTGTCCCATTGATATCCTAGAAATTGGTATTGAATTGATACTTGCTTGCCATCGTATTTACCTTGTCATAATCTCATCCTTGATGACTTTTATAACATGGCAACTTTTAATTCAAGTTTGATTTCTTTAAAAAAAAAAATTCTGCCTTGCTCACTGGATGTTTAGCTAACTCTCATAATTCTTTACTTAATTTCAAGTGTATCTTTTTATGGAATTGCTTTAACAATGTATTCTTTCAAAAAACCTAATCTTTAACAATGTTATTTTCACTAATATCTACTCTCATCTTTTGGAATGCTATTTTGGTTACTTTTGCACTTCAATCCATTGATTTTTTCAAGGAAAATAAACTGCACATCACTTTGCTGTATTTACTCAAATATTGAACTATGCCTAGAGAAAGAAAGGAATTGCAAAATCAGATATTTTTGTAGAGGGTCTGTCTTATATACAAAGGTAATGACAGTTCAAAAATCGTGCTAAAGACTTCACTTGCTCATATGTATCAAAAGTCTGCCCATGAGTTGAAATCTGAAAAACATCAATTTAACAATAACAGCCACTTTATTCTCATTCTAAAAGGGATTCTTAAGTGTGTCATGGACCAAGATAGAAGAAACGAACATAGAGATCTGATGCAGAGACCAGTTTTTATGAAAGCTGTTACCATTGTTCTCAAACAGAAAGATAAACCCAGTATTTTAACTTGCCGAAACATTCATGCAAACAGATTGCACTTTTATATACTTATGATTAAAAGAAGCCTTTTCAGAAATACATGAATGATACACAGCATAATATGGTCTTCTATCATTCTTGCATTAACTAATGTTGCATTATCCACTAATTTGCTACCCAATTTATCATTATCCATCAAATTGTGTGATTTAATTGCAGCTTATTTGAAGGGGGAAATGCAGATAAAAAAAGAAATTTGTGGTGTAAATCTGTTACTAATTCACAGCATTATAATGCTTTCACATGCTAAATACACTATGAACATGATGGACAAAGAAAGAGGACAAAATATACAGTTCCTCATTCTACCCTCAACAATTGCTGTGGTAGACAAAGGAACATCTCTTCACTGCTATTATGTAAAAATGTGTAGAACAGGTGTCACATGCACATTCACCTGTTCTACTTATTTTTACATAATAGCAGTTAAGGGATATTCCTTTCTTGTCTACCGCAGCAACTGTTGAGGGTAGAATGAGGAACTGTATATTTTGTCCTCTTTCTTTGTCCATCACATTCATAGTGATAGCCTCTACTGAGGAAACTACTGCGTTTTAACACAAAGTACATGCTTCATTTTTTTCTTCTCATCATTTTCTCTCACCAATAACAGCAGTATGTACAACAGCAACTTCATGCCCCTCAAGATGTGAGTTTATAATGCCTGCTAACACTTCATGCAGCTTAATATTTTTTAAATGTATATATATGCCTTACCATCCTAACCCTATTCAGAGCTGCCAACCATTTCGTTTTTGCCAGAATTACTCCCGTTTTTTCCTCCAAATTACGGTATTACGATACGTTTTTTCTTCATAAAATACTTCTTCTTTTTTTTCCTTTTTTTTACATACCGTACGTCAAACAACTGCACTAAAATGGTGATTTGATCACAAATTCAATAGAAACTAATTTTAAAACATACTTGAAGAGAAAAATATTCTCAAAAAGAATGAAATGTTGATAACACCAAAATAACCACCCCAAAAAATACCTGCTTGTCTGGAAAAAACAGCATGAGGAATGAACATTTCTGCATTAGAAATGTGCCGTGCGTGGTTGTAAGTTTCGTTTTTATGAATTCCCTTTTTTTGCCATCATGATTCCTTTTTTTGGTCGCACAAGGTTGGCAGCTCTTTTTGACTCACACGGTATGGTCCTGGTCATGAAAGAAAAATGGAAGCAGTGTGTGCAGATTTTTTTGGCCCTTTCTACACCTGCATCTGGTATATTTGCCAGGGCTCAGAATCATATTTTATTGAGCAAAATCACCAAATGTGGAAGGATTGTCCTAAAAGGGTTTTGTTTTGTTATTGTTCATTGTCTTGTTTTTGTTTCCATGATTCTGAAGCAGGGCTTCAAACTATATAACTTTTATTGATTGTATTTACTCTTTTGTAGGTCTCCAGTTCAAAACTTTTTGTCAGCAATGAAAATATACGAGAAATTATATAACTCATTAAAACTTTTTTTTGTTTGTACATATACATAACAAAACTTTTATCAGCCATGAAAATCTATGAATATGTGAGTTATTATTTAAAGTATTGAGTTTATTTACTTTTTTTTGTAGGTGTACAGTTCTAAACTTTTTTGTCAACAATGAAAATATACAAGAAATTATATAACTCATAATAACTTTATTATTTATTTTTTGTACATCTACATAACAAAACTTTTGTCAGCAATGAAAGTATATGAATGTATGAGAAATTATTATACTCATAATGACTTTATTAATGTGTTTTTGTATGTATACAGTTCAATTTTTTTTGTCAGCAATGAAAATATTAAGATGAATGATATAACTCGTAAAACCTTCTTTTTATTCCAGACTGCACCTGCCAAAGCTCCACAGCAGGCCCCAGAGAAACCTAAAGCACCTCTGCCAGCTGAGCATCAAGTTCTCTGTGATACATTCAATGCTCTAGCACAAAGATGTGGGGCTTCCCCTTCAGTCAATGCTGTAAGTTCTAATACCCCTAGGGGCAGTATAAATCATGAGTACCATTTCCACTCCTCCTGTTTTCTATTTCGTAAAGCGCGTAGAGACATGCAAGTATGCCTATGTGTTTTGCGCTATACAAAAACGTTTAATTATTATTGTTATTACAATTGAAGATAACTTCTGCTCTAGTAACTGAGTTGAATTAAACAGAGTTGAATTCAGAGTATTTTTTTTATTGTGGAGGAGGGGGAGGGCTATTTCAGAGTCACAGAAAGATGAAAAGGAAGCATATAATGCAGTTTTATATGATCTGTTTAATTGTAGTCTCAGTTAAGAGACACTGCTTTTAAATTGAAATGTAGTTCGTAAAACATGAATGAACATTGAGTAATTTTAAGTTATTTAATGTCACAAATATTATTACCAACCCTTCCTATTTTGGGTCTTCAAGTAATACTGTTTTAACCCCTAGATTCCACTCTTTCTCTAAAATATTTTTTGTGAAAAGTATACAAATAGACTGTATTCCTAATTTTGCCTTGAGAGATTCCTATTTTTTGCTGTAAAATGTTGGCAGGTATGCAATTGTAATGTGTCCCCTACCAAGCATTAAATGTGTGTCTTTACAGTGTTTGAAATTTGCCTTGTATTACACCATTACACATTTGTTTTAAAAAATCGAGATTTGGGCCCTTTTTTATGAAACTTGTTATCGGTAAGAAGTTACCATAAGTGTTATAAGCTACTGAAAACCTAGCATATGATTGGCTGTGAGCAAATTTGTCATGGATCTGTGGCAGTGGATATTGATAACAAGTGATATGAAACAGTGGCCCTGTTTAGAATTGGATAGATTAGTTCAAGGCTGCACAAACCTCTGATAATGAATCAACAATAATAATTATAACTATTCTGATATTTTTTTTTAAATTTTCACAGCAAATGAAGAGGAAACTAGAGGATGTTCACAGAAAGTTGGAAGTTTTATACGACAAGCTGAGGGAAGGAATGGTGAGTTTGCATCGCTTTCGTCATGTACTTTATAAAGATAATGTGCAATTACAGAAAAAATTGGAATATCAGATTAATTACTGTAGCTGAATGTTTATAATTTTTAAATTTCAAGTTCAGTTTATTTCACATCCAATAAAAAAAACTTACAGCAATATAACATTCAAATACAATAATATAAAATGCAATATATATAAAATATGATATGAACAAGTACAACAACAACAGTAACACTAAAAATAATTAATGGGTGGAGTAGGGATGTGAGGGGACCAGAAAAAGCCAATGGCCTATCTAGGCTGGTCCCGTTTTTTCTACTACCCCATAAGTAAAATCTTCAGTAATTAAAAGCAAAACATTAGAAACTATAGATATGGATATTAATATAGATAAAGGAGGCAAGTTCCGACTCTCAAAGGACAAATTACATTATTTTGCGAGCACTTCTCGATCAATATGAAGTACGGTAGTATTATTGTACATTTGTAAATGACTTCCACTTTCAGTACTTAACCTGCTGACATTGGACTAATAATAATAATAATAATAATAATATTTAGTTTTTATATAGCGCTTAATACAATGTCTCTAAGCGCTTTACAAATATACCAGTACCCCGGTCATTGGATTCAGTGCTTGCCAGCACACACTGTGTGCACAATCTCCACTCCCTGGGGAGCATTCCAGCCAGGCGTTACTTGACGCTCAAAAACTGTTTGACCAACAATGACGGTTCATCCTACCGGGTACCATTTAACACCTGGGTGGATAGTAGCAAGTGCAGGTTAATATCTTGCCAAAGAATATTAGTGCCATGTCGGGATTCGAACCCTCGACCTTCGCATCTCCAGTCAAGCGCCTTAAACCACCCGACCACGACCCTCCCAATTATGTTTGTATGTTATGTCCTGTTCTTCTACAGCTCTCAAACATGATTCTTCAAGGTCTCCACGAGATCGCTCAGGCCATAGGGACCTTCAACTACCAGCACGGTCTAGGAGTCCACACGCGTCTGGTCAGCAGTGGCAACTTCTCTGAAATCAGTGCCTTCATGCCGGGCCTCAAGGTCCTCATGCAGCTGGCCACGCAGCTCAGAGTATGAACAATTAAGCCTCGATCAGATATGACTTGGCAAAACCACAGCAGATTTTTTATGACGTAAATTGTATTGTAGTACACTTCTCATTTCTGTATCCTTACAACACAGAGCTCAGTCAATACGTGCAGGGGGGTGTTTCACAAAGATCCTAAGTTGAACTTATCTCTAAGTTGGACTTAAAACTTATGGAAAGCTGTTAGCATCATTGAACAAAAAATTGTAAAAATTATTTTAAAAGGCATGAAATGTTGATTCAAATCATTCATATTTTCTATTATCTTGGGAGATTTCATGTTCTTGATGTGGAATTCATGAAAAGTCTAAAATACTTGAATTTTGCTTTTGAATGTATTTCATTATTAGGCTACAAATGGCTCTCCATAATATTTAAGTCCGACTTAGAGTTAAGTTTGACTTAGAGTCTTTGTGCAACACCCCCCTGGACTTTCTTTTGAGCACAGTTGATGTTCATCGACACTTTTAGAAAAAAACGTGGCTGCATTTTGGGGTCCTTTTACTGCGTCCTAATGAACGAGCCTTTAGAGAGCTAACCGTACTCAGTGAAATGAACTTATGGATTGGGGACTCAGTGTCTAGGTTAGGACCTACAGGTTTTAATCATGGAGAAATATAGTGATATATAGACAAGATGTATTTCTGACCTTCTAAATATACATACTTTGGCTTTACCATTATAGTAATAATAACTCAGTCGGTAGAGCAGTGGTCTCGTAATCCGGTGACCTGGGTTCAAAACCAAGGCGATGCGCTAGTGCCCTTTGGTAAGGCATTAATCCTCACCACCAGGTCCCCTCGGAGAGGACCTAAAGCCGTCGGCCGTCTGGTTGCTTACTTACAAGCATTTATCCTTTCTTAGCAGTCGGGTAAAATAACCACCACCAGGAATTAAAAATGCAACTGCCATTATATATGGTTTGTTTTGCCTCTGGTTTTGACAAGTATGAAAGTTCAAAGGTTAAGGTGTTTTGTAACCTGTAGTGTGAAAGTCAACAGCAAATCTGCTATTGTAGCGTCAATATTTCATAATTCTGATCACGATTTGATGCTAGAATTTCAATTTAGTGTTTCAAAATACCCTTGTTATTGAATTACTTGTCCAAAGGAAAACTACTGGAATTGATGACTGTTCTCATCATTTTCTCGATGATTTAAGAATGTATAATCAAATTCCCACCCTGGTGCATGGAAATCTCAATTAATAATGACTGTACTAATGGGGCATTTTCTTATCGACCAATCTTTGTCAGATTGAGATCATATGCTTATGACCTTGACTGACATCTACCCTTTCACTTCAACCCGAAGGTGCTGTAAAACCGTCTGGAGTATGGTATTGAGGTTTAAAATATTTTTATTATGTCACGGCTTCAGAGTATTCTTGTAAATGGCGTCAATTTTCGTGAATCTTTTCTCCTGGTACCCTGGTAGATATTCATTTCACATCTAAGCTGTTCAGGACAAACATTAAAGCCCCACTGCACTACTAGATAACCACCTGCCAGTGACCATGCAGGGAGGTCTAATCCCTCCTGGCCAAACTATTGCAGACGGGCTTTAAAATATGAATGAAGAAACTGATATTGAGTCTACCATTGTTTTATGTCTGTCTAGTTTATGTATGCTTTTTATTTATTCCTCCCCAAAGTTTAAATTGTTTTGCATCTTATCTCTTAGATGTTTTAACCATATCATTTTATTCTTTTACAGTAGAAACAGTAGAATATATTGCTTTATGTGTTTTATTTTGTGAGTGCATTTTAAACTTGTCCCCATTTCTTGAGATTATTATCTCAAACAAAGCTATTTGTTCTCTTTGATCGAAATTGTGCTTGTACAGGCCAAATAAAATAACAAATGTGGTTTGGGTAGAATAACTTGCTTGCCTCTAACACCATATTATTCATTGAAGAAAGCTTGGTGCTGAAATTTAACCACAATTATTTCCCTGAAGAGGATTTTACCTCGTAATAAAGTTTGTTAAACTGATGTATGTATCTTCTAGGCAATGATACATCAGTTTTTAAATACTGCTGAGGAAAATAGGGAGTTACAGAGGATTCAATGTAATATATTTATTTTGTTGCAAAACTTCTTATCGAATAGTTTTTATTTAATTTTCTAAATTTATCTAATATTTTGAACCACAATTTTAATAGGATGAATTATTGTTTAGGCAAATTCATTCTGTTAAATATCTTACACATTTTACACTTATTCATATTTTGTTTTTGTTGTATGTGTAATTATAAAATAAGAAATATGATGTCATTATATAGAACTCTCTACTTGCCATTATATTTTAAAGTATGGATTGTGTTTCTGTATAAATGCCATATCAAGTAAAAATCAAAGAAAAAGTAACTATTGATGGTATTTCTTGCTTTCTTTTTAAAGAGCTATCTAAATTATGATTTTTTTTTTTTGCATGCAATTTTAAATTGCGAAGAATTTCAAGTTAAATTTAAAAGGGAAATACGTTGAGTTCTTTTGTTTATTTTATAATGATTTTAAATGATTTTAAGCTTTAGCATCATAATTTAATAATTGCTCTTCTCACCTCTCGTAGCTATGATCTTGTGTTTGCAAATTTGGGAAGAAAACACTGGAATTTTCTTCAAGGTTTCAAGCAAAAGCATTTCCTTGACAATGCATCACCAATATTGTAGTGCTGACCAAGAAAGTTGAGGCTTATTGTAAAATTATTTTGTCTATGAAATTGCAATGTTTTGAATTTGATACAGGATTCTTATTTTCCTGTGTAGTTGACCTTGAAAGGCATGGTATTTACACAAATAGACAATAAAGACATACCTTCTCCAATAGTGATAATAAGAGTAATATGAAAATAATAATTTATTGGTGTATTGAAGTCTGATCTCCTACCTTTGTGCATTCCATTTGCATTTCATTCAACTCCGTGAGAATCAATGGGAGTCGTATTTTGAAAGTTGGAGCCGATTTGTTTTTAAATCTACAATTCTATTTCATTTCTTGTAAGGAGGTTTTGACATGTAACATATACAATGCTATATTTCTCAACCATTGCTATGGGTAATATGACCCTCTAACTGCAAAGGAGTCATGACTGTGAAATAATCAATCTTTGAAAGAGAGAACTGCATTTTGTATATACTGTGTATAATAAGATAATTCTAGCTATTTGTTCTTAAATATTGTATCTGTAAGAGTAGGAGTATGAATAAAGAATGGTGTATCGTTATTCGTGTTGTAAAGGCAATGGAGGATTCAAGATGCGAGGTGAATGAGGATCTAACGACGTTGCACGTGGTCCAAACTTCTCAAGAAACATGACCATTGTGCCCGAATATTGTTGCAAGATCATCCTACATGATGTAATGAATGTTTCTTTGGGCAAATCAATTTATCTTGAAATTGGCTGAGATGAGATAGTTCTAAATGTTTGCAACCTGTGAATACTAAACATGAACTCTCATTCGTGTCACCGCTTGTAGAATTAGTAGAGTGCTGTCTGTACACAGCTCGCTTCTGGTTCTTCAACAATGGTCTAAGACAATAGGCTTGTAGGAACTGAGAAGAAGAAGGCAATATGTTACATCGAATAGAGTAAACGATGTCATGTCCAAAGATGCCGGCTTGGAGGAACAATGTCCTTTGGTGTATGAGGATGACTGAACAACAATGAAGAAGAAATAGTTAGGGGCCAGGCTTGTGAATATTAGTTTGCATTTATCTCATGGGTGGTGACAAAGTAATAATGATGATGTCACTTTAGCCCCATTTACAATCAACACCTCTTGTTATCCCATTGGTCAATGCGAAGGGATTGAGTGATCTATGCATTTGCAGTACCGGTAGTTCCTTTTGAACTTAAGGTCCTTAATCTACTCATTAGGGACTTTTAGATTTATGACGAGAACGTGGACCACCACGCGTGACATTCTTTTAAGGTAATGTGACGTCTCTTTAAGGCACTGCCGGGCAAGGCCCAGTGCCTTGACACAATGTCACACGTGGCAGTCCACGCTCTCGTCGTGTAAATCTAAAAGTCCTTATTTTGTTAAAACCTGATCCTGAGTCTAAGATAACATTTAATAAAAGGGGAGCTTAGACGTTAGACTAACTTCTTTTGTTGAATTGATTTTGGACATTAACCTTAACATGGCATTGGGTTTGAATTTGAGTAGAATAAGGACTTGTGTGTATATGCATCCTTATAGAGTTCATTCTGAAAGAGGGCATTTATCCAATGTTGTAAATGTAGAAAGTTTTATCCTCTCTCTGCTCTGAATGCTCACGCAAGCCTTGGCCCCTGCAATTTCTATCCGAGTTAACATCGTAATGAAATAGTGCGTTATTTGAATTTGTTAGTTGGTGTATTTCTGATGAGAGATGGGATGTAACAAAATAGATTATTTGAAATCCATTGTAAACTTTTGTATGAATGAATTCCATAGATGATGAATAAATATGAATTGTATGGAACATGTAATGAAGTAATGTGCAGCGTTTCTGTTTTTATGTCTAACATGATTGCAACTAGATGGTAAAATCAGCTCAAGTGCAATATCAATACCCTATTAGTATTTTATGCCTCATAGAAATCATGTTCGGATTGCATAAAGTGTCTTGTGTCATGTTTGAACAATTCAATAGGTCAGGTGACACATACGGCTATATAAGCGAGTTCGTAATTAGGATTTGCGCATGTGCAGATGAAGGTCATTCGTTCCCAAATTGTAAAACCATTGAGATGAATACTCCATCGTGCTCATGAAAGTTATGTAATTAGTATTCATTTTTGTACCGACAGTACATTTATCTGATACACAGGTGGAAGTATTCTTCTCAAGAGGGCAAACAAAAGGTATTCATGAATTACCTCCATCACTTCGACAGTGATTATTCTAAAATGCACAAGTGGGACGTATCGATAGCGTAAGAGATCTGTGGATATTTGGGGATTATGAGTTCCGAAGCTATTTACGAACTGGCTTATTGAAATTGCTTGAGGTTAATTTATCGACAGTTCACTGTACGGTTGTAGTTGAGTTTGTGTCTTTTATTGAAGGGAAAATTAGACAGAGCTTAGATGAGATGTTGAGATAATGCTCCAACATGTGCTTCAGTAACAGTTGCTCCAGACTTTATTTCATCAAAGACAAAGTTAGGGTTGCAATTGGCTTTTGATATTGGATATTTATTATAGCGCACATATCCACCACGCAAGGTGCTCAAAGCGTTCCAATATTATCTCAGCTGTGCTAGGCTGCCGATTTCCGTGCTCACAGCATTCAAGGAACTCCTTCCTACCGGTACCCATTTACTACACCTATGTGGAGAGTGGCGAATGTAGAGTAATGTCTTGCCAAAGGACATTGGTGCCAGTGTGCCACGTACTGCGGGGCTTGAACCAAGAAGCAAGTGATCCACAGTCTGGTGACGGCCTATCCACTAGACCAGACACCTCTACATCTCTATCAAAATAGGGATAGGGTTGCAATTATTGGCTTTTACGTTAGGTTTAGGGTTAGGTACAAGTATAGTGTTGGTGCATGGTTGAATTAAGACGTCTGTTAGTGTAGTATGTTGACCACAGAACAGTGGTCAAATAGGAGAAGGAATAAAAATGAGATTTAAGGCCATTAAAAAAATATATACATGTTTAGCGTCCCCGCCCGCTTCCTTTTTTGGGGTCGCCTCCTATTTTTTTTTTTTTTTTGTACAGAAAAAAAACATGAAAAACACTGCTAAAATGGATCTATTTTTGATTTTAAAACAAATTTTACGAAAGTCGGCCATCTTGAAAAATAGCCCGACTCTCAGGGAAAATGTACCGAGCAGCCATTTTGAGCGGCCATTTTGGAAGAAAAAAAGGGTCTCCTCCTTCCTATTTTTCGAAAAAACAGGACGCTAAACATGTTTTTTTTTAATTTGGCCTAAAGTTATGGTATGGTGCAGGCAAAGGAGGGAGAGATACATATAGAACAAGGAAATTAGATAATAAGGGGACGGCACCTAAGATTCTAGCCATTCACAGATCATTTAAAGAGTAACAATGGTAGTAAACAGTTGAGATTGATATGAAAGGTGCGTTCTATTTTTGTCCATCTCAACATTTCAATCATTACACCATGATGTAACTTTTTGACCAATGTTTATAGCGCCCTCGCCGATTCTGCAACGAAGAAGGATGACACTGTATTCTGTTATCTACCCGACATCCTTTCTATGTTAAGGATTAATTAACCCCACCCTTTTAACTAGTTAATTTGTTTAAGAAGCGTTGACGGATCGACTTCAGTATAAAATGAATAAAGGAGCCATTTCTTAATTCTTCTAGTTGATAAAACGGAATCGTCTATGGTGGAAAGGGAAACAAAATCAAGTGATGTCAGTCTCTATAAAGACCTACTCTAACATGAAACTACATTCCCCTCTCTCTCGATACCTCGTTAACGAGGTATTGCTAGATTTAATTGAAAGCAACAGCTGAACGTCATAGTTAAGCGATCCGTGTCCCTTGGCCAACACTCCGGAACGCTCTAAGAAGGAGACGTGACTGCAGTAGCGGTTTTAAAGGAGTTTGGAGCACCACCCCCCCCCCCCCCAAAAAAAAAAAAATAAATAAATAAATAAATAAATAAATAAAAAAACTCGCGCGGTATGTATAAAATTAACGCAGGAACCCCCGAGCCCCCTGCCCCCCCCCCCAAAAAAAACACCTGCCTATATATTTTTACCGTTCTAGGGCCGCTCCTGGACTTGGAGAGAGAGAGAGAGAGAGAGAGAGAGAGAGAGAGAGAGAGATAAAGAGAGAGAGAGGGTAGCATATGACTTCACCACAAAAGATAATAATAATAAAAGGTGTTTACTTCTCGATTCAGGGAAAAAGGCTAATCTTCTCTGGTTATTTTATTGCGGGCAAGCTTCGCGGTTTTCCACTTGTATACAATAGAAAGAAAGAGTCGATCTAAATCACATGAATTCACAAATCTTTAATCCTGTTTTCGTGTGAATGGCTCCATCATACGTCATAATTGCTGGCCAACTTTACCTTGAAACTTTCACCTTCTGCGTCCAGGCGTTCGGCGTGTTTATCCTGCACTCACCATGAAAGTACTCCAGCGTGTTTCTCAGAACCATGGGAGAAAATACATGAATGTTACAAGAATGTATCTTGGGATATAGGTGGAGAAACTAGGTTAGACTCAAATATCATACTTTTTAAAACCATTACAGGGCAGTTGATGATTATACCGCTTCTCAAGTAGGTCATGAAAAATTCATAACGTATTGAGTGGAGGCCAGCATGACCAGAGGCACAACCCCATTGCGTTATTAGTTGGAAACGAGGAGGAAACGGTCATTGATACCCATCGATTCTCCGAGTAAACAAGTAAATAAACACGGAAGAGCCAAGTTCGCACCTCGTCTCGGCCGACGTACTTCTTAAAAGCAGAAAGTTTCATAGGAATCATCATAATAAGCAACCTCATTATAATTCAGGAAGAGAACATTGAACATCAAAAGCAGATATCTGTATATGACATACCGCGGAAACAGAAATTTTCCTCTTTGACGGTGAATGATAACAATTCGGAAGTAACGAGACATATTGAAAGCGATTACGTACGTTCTACGAGCTCGGATTAACGGAAACTTACTTAACAATTGAAACTGATGGAAATTGTATCATCGACCATAGCTGCAACGGAATAGGGTTTATACCTATCTCCTGAATGAGTTTGGAATAAAAACTCGCACCTTAACCTCCAGTAGGGAAGGAATATCACTCGCTAGTTTTTCGTACTCCTCCTGGAAAGTGGAATAAACTTTTGATGAAATGTTGGCGCCAAATCTCTGCGTGTTGATCTGTTTGATTGTCACTCATTCAATCACGGTAAGTTGAAAGAAATCGTAATTATTTATTTTATTTTATTCATTTATCATTTATTCATTTATTTACTACTTGTGGTATGGAACACCCTTATCAGCACGAGTGCTTTTTCATACTAGGTCCACTCGCATTAAAAACAAAATGAAACAATAAAATGACAGGAAATTAAATATACAAACTAAAATCGCATGTGTTTTACTTTCTTTGTACTTTTCTCTAATTTAGTTTATGTTCAATGTCAATGTTTATTGCGTGTGTATTAATATCTGTAATTTCTTGTTTTCGTTATTACAATAGACCTTCTGTTTTGTACCTGTCTGTTTATCGGGTGTATCGTTTTTATGAATTTACTGATTTTTTTTAATAATTCCCAGCAGAGGATTAGAGATTTTACCCTAACTAACATTCCATATTATAGGCTATATGTTTTATTCCAAGCTATGCCTTTCAGCGGCTTGGAGGGAAAGAATGTATATATCAAATAATCATGATTATCATATAATAGTACATGAATCGTGAAAGAAAAATCAGATTTAGATGCAAAAGGGGAAATCGGATTTATGTTTTTCTTCTTTTTTTTCCCCTTTTTTTTGTACCGTGTACGTCAAGGTATTGATTTACAGGGGCTCCTACTTTTGGTATAACTTTACCATTTGAGAATTATGTTGAAGTTGGAAAAATGTAAGGGGACTGCTCGTGCCCCTTGATAAAAGTTATTTTACTGAATTATCGTTCTGTACGTTTTAGATAAAAGAAAGAAAGATCAGATTTAGATGCCAAAGGGGAAATCGGATTTTTGTAAAGGGGTGTACGTCAAGGTATTGATTTACAGGGGCTCCTACTTTTGGTATTACCATTTGAGAATTATTTTGAAGTTGGAAACAATGGAAGGGGACTGCTCGTGCCCCTTGATAAAAGTTATTTTACTGAATTATCGTTCTGTACGTTTTAGATAAAAGGTGAACAGTTTAGTAGACATAAAGTGCACATAATCCCGCCTATTATACAAGTCATTGGCTTACAGCGGAAATGTTTAGCCGAGATAAAGTAACCTTCTTATCTCTCGAAGTTGAACAATCATTTCAAGCTGGGTACACGTCACTGCATGTCTCAATCATGAGAGGGAAAAAATCATTCCTATCCTTGAATACGTGTATCATGCTTTTAGCGAACACGTATGAGGTGCAAGTCATTGTATTCCATGAGATTCCATAGCTTAAAGAGAAGGTTGAGTTCTGAGAAAGGTGAAAATACTTGGTGAGATTCATTGTATTCCATGAGATTCCATAGCTTAAAGAGAAGTTTGAGTTCTGAGAAAGGTGAAAATACTTGGTGAGGATTTGTTTGTAATTATTATTTTTATGTTAGTGTGAGAGAGTTTATCGGAGAAGAAAAAAAATCTGCCCTGAAAAGAATGGCTCTTCAAATGCCTTCATATTCGAAATGTAACAAGTAACAGATAAAGTTTGTGAACCACATTTTCATTCCATATGTTTATTTAGTGCATTTTTAGCAAGACCGGGCCAATGTCTTATTATTTTGATGAAGATCCCGTAGATAGTGTGGTGTGGCAGGGTTAAGGGGGTCCCATGAGATCCATTTAAAAACCCAGGTTGGATAGTTGTCGTTTAAAGCTTAGGAGTGTGGGAGCATCAATGGCAGTTTGTGGCAGCTTGTTCCATTTGCTTACAACTCTCTGGCTATAGAATTTTTTTCCTGATGTCAAGGCGGCTTCTTGTTTTGGCTAGCTTCATGGAATGGCCTCTTGTTCTTTCATAGTTAGCAAACTGAAAACAATTTTCGGGTTTTGATTTGTCGATTTGCGTCAATATCTTGTGGGTTTGCAATAGGTCTCCTCTCTTTCTTCTTTTCTCCAAAGTAGTTAGTTTCAGTTCTGCTAGACTCTCTTCATATATGGTAGATGTCGAATACTTGGAATGAGAAAAGCAAGGAGCTATAGCTTCACAATGTCTGGAGTAGGGTCTTTCAAGATTCATGGCTATTAGAGTCTCCGTATACCATCACAAGTCGTCTTCTTTCCATTCACATCGCTTTTCCCTTAGGCTACCTCTAAACTTTAAAGATGATTGACGTTTAAGTCACAACCACATTCATGACATTCCCGTTGCCTTTTCGAGCAGACATGTTACCTTGATACGTATTTTTATTTGGTATATAAAAAGGTGTTAGAAATGTTTCTCACGACCATGTATGGTGACTCTGATAAATGAAAAATAATTTATATAGACACATTAGAATTTCCAATAAATTAATAGAAAAAGAAGACTACGCTGGAGAAAAAGAAGAAGAAGAAGAAGAAGAAGAAGAAGAAGAAGAAGAAGAAGAAGAAGAAGAAGAAGAAGAAGAAGGAGGAGGAGGAGGAGGAGAAGAAAATGAAGAAGAAGAAGAAGAAGGGGAAAATAAGAAGAAGGGGAAGAATAAGAAGAAGGAGAAGAAAAAGAGGAAGAAGAAGAAGAAATAGAAGAAGAAGGAGGAGGAGGAAGAAGAGGAGGAGAAGGAGAAAGAGGGGAAGAAGGAGGAGGAGAATGAGGAGAACAAAAGAATAAAAAGGCAAGGTAGACAATGACGTAGACTGAGTAAAGATGTTATGGTAAATGCAATAAGGAAAGGAAAGGATCGGAACTAAATGAACGAAGTAAAAAGGAACGAAAGAAAACATGAAAAATGGAAAGAGACGTCGATGAAGAGAGCGTTCAGACAGTAGACGCTGAACATGACCGAGTGGAAATAACATAAGGCAGGATGGAAATAATGAAAAATGACGGAAAGAAACAAAACAAAGAAGAAAAGAAAGAAAGAAGAAGAATGAAAATATGATGAAGATTAAGAGAACTATTAGACGATGAAGGTTACTGAAAGCCAACGATGTTGATCGGATGTAACGATATCCGTCTTGTCATCTCATGTAAGATGTCTTGCATCAGCGTGTGTGTTCACAGATTCTTGGCATTGACTGAGATTTTTTTAACCATGACCATACAACCTCACAAACATCATGCCAGTCAACTGAAAAAACATATAGTAGTGACCGACTTTGCTTTAACCCACTCAATGCCGCTCCGCCTCATATCTGAATACAATAATTACATGCAAATAATATATGACGAGAAACTTTCCCGTCTGCGTTTCAAGCAGTAACATTTTCGGGATACACTCTAGAAACTAAAATGTTAAATCACCATTAAAAAAGGCAGGGGAGTGACCCCTTTTTCGAAATGTCAGATTATAGGAAACGTTTTTAGCATGCTAGATTCAACCTTTATAGCGTTGGATCCAGCATTTTGTATATGTCTGGACATGTATGTATATTTGTATTTGTTATGAACCACATATGGAAATAAACTCAACTTGAAACTTGAACATGTTTAAAATGTGGGGAAAGGGGTGACTTCTCTGTCTTTTCGAAGTATCTAGATTGTAGGTTTACGTAGCCACTTGTTCAAAACTGAGCACAAAAGGGTTACATAGGACTTTAAATACATCAAGAATATCGCAGTAGTTTCTGTTTTTTTTCTTCATCCAACCGTTTGATGATTTTCCTTCATATCTTTTCTAGGTATTGTCAAACTCTCACAGCCATATTTCCAAAAACTAAATTTCGGAATAATAAAGGCGATCTGGAAGTCATCAGGTACTGTCCTTCCTATAAACCCCAAAGGTGTTATTATGATGCTGATTAATGCTGTCATTTTCTAAACATTTATATGCTCATTTTATGTAGGCTCCTTGATATTTATGTGCATAATGGCTTTTTTATTGAAATTTCATGTGAGAATAATCGGTGAATTTTACGATTTGCTTAAATTTAGTCCTTGGCTAGTAGGATTGAACGGTTGTGCACATCTAGGACGCTTGTGAATTCAACTAATTTTCCCTGAAAAAATGGTTGCAGAAGTCAAATTTAAATGATAAACTCACGTCGCTGTAAGGCAAAGCCCCGCCCCCCCCCCACTCAGTGTTATTAAGGGTACACATATGCTCGTTCCCTCTTTTTGAAAGCACCCCCTATCTGAGGACTGCCAAAATTTCCAAACCCCCCTATCGCGGGCTTTTCCTGCCTTGGAGACCCCCCCCCCCTAAATCATGAAAAAATTCTCAATGTACCCCCTAAATTCGGAATGATTTCTCAGGAGTCCAAAGAGATGAGAGAAAAAACGAAAAAACACCCCCTTTTTAAAGAAATCTCCGGGTGAAAAGTTAATACACCCCTTTTTTTTTACAATTCTCGGGCCGGACTTTGTCGCACGAAAAGTACCCCTTTACCTGACATTTTGGTAACACGCATGGGGTCCGTCCGTTCTCGGAGTGGGGGGGGGGGGGGGGCGGGGGCAAAGCACATTACGATAAAATATTTTGAATAAAAACAACTTTTGATTATTTAGTCATTATTGATACTCGCTAGAATTTCTAAGAGGGTTGAATAACATTATAGATGGGCTTGATAATATTATCTATTACGACCTCCAGAAAACAAAAATTAATCCCTCTTTATGGTAAAGGAAAGTGAATTAACAGGGGCGTATCCAGACATTATCAACAGTGGGGGGGGGGGGGGTGGAGTGTAGACCTACTCCTGTTCCCCACACTCCTTATCCTCATCTTTCTTTCTTTCTTTTTCTTTTCTTAACGGGCTTTCAAAGAGGGAGGGGCGACAGGGCGCAGGAGCCCCACTGAATACGCATTAGGCTACTGAACAATCCCTACATATACACATGTACAGTCCTTGTAGAGATGTCCATCAAAACGCAGTCACATCGGATCGTATATAAATTAACACTGCCACCTTTGCACAATACCAAAATAAAATGTTCATCCCATGTCATACATGCAATAAAAGCACTCGTAATTTTTCGAACAACAATCCTTTCATTGACTATCATTTTGTAGAACTGGAATTAAAGTAAACAATCTCCAATTATCTTTATTTGCCCCAATTTCTTTACACCTATTCATGAAAATGACCCCGCCAGGGATTCAAACCG